TTTTTTTAAATCACCTGGAAACTAAAAAAAAAAGCTACTAACAGATGAAATTAAGACTTGAAAATTTAAAAACAGGTTTATTTGAGGAAGGACTCTATAAATTCTAAATACTTCCATTTCATATGGTATATATGAAAATTAAAGTTTCCTAAATGTACTTTTATCCCCTTGAAATACTTTATAACATAAACTATGTGTTTACATTTTCACAGCTTAAGTTAAAAATGTAAATTAAAAAGAATGAATAGATAATAAACACCACTGGAATAGATGAAGGGAAGGTCAATCTAAAATGAATGGATGAACAAACATTATGTGTACTGCAATTAACAATCTGGAACCGGGCATGCATTATGGACTGAATGGGGGACAAAGAGGGGAAATTTGCATGAATACATGAATGAAAATCCATTTTGAATTTTTATTCAAATCATAATTTTAAAAAATAAAACTAGTATAATAAAAAAGTAAAAACATTAATTACTATGCATGGTATGAAATTAATCTGATAAAACCAGGGGCACATCTTATCACGTGAGTGATAAAATAATGAGAGCTCTGGTGGCCTAGTAGGAAGGAGTTGCCATCCCAAAGGCATTCAGTTTGAATTCACCATGTTCTGATGGAGGAAAAAAATAGGCAACCTCCTAATGTGCTATTTAGTGGCTCTAAAATCCCACTGGAGTGTTAGTTGTGAGTTGGTTCCGACTTGATGGTACACAACACTACCACCCAAATTACAAATACATTGTGCACTGGTATTACTGAAGTAAGTGAAAAAAACTTTAGTGGGGAAGGAAAAGGTTCTTGTGTAACAGTGGGCAGTGTGGCTGACATGTAAATGAAACTATAAGGATGAGTGAAGAGGTAGAGGAAAAATGGGTGCAGACAGGGTAAGTGCATCAGAAGAGGCAGAGATTTAAAGGCTGGGCAATCTATGGTTGAACGATGACGGTGTATTCAGAGAATCGATCGTTGAGGAGCTAATTATCCAATGCACCAAAATTCAATGATAAAATCTCAAGTACTTCCGATAGTGACATGTATTGAATTCGTATTAGCTCTGTTATTACAGCTAGAAAAAATTGTCTTTCAAGTTCCCTTTGCACAAAGTAGTTGAAGGCAATGATTCAAGACAGTGCTGTTCAGAGACTGACTCAGGGAAGCTGCAGAATCCACTGTCTAACAAAAAAATGCGCCTCTCCTAATGGTATGAGAGGAAAGTGTACCTCAATCATCTCCATTACCATGTATTTTTTTTTTCATCCTATTCTTTTTCCATAGTTTCTTCTCTGTGGTCTAATAAACCTCCCAACTGACAGAGAAATTTATTTGCTTACCATTAATTCATAGTTAGAGACCCTGGGTGGTATAAAGAGTTCACACAATTAAGTGTTAACTGGAAAGCTGGAGCTTTGAGTCCAGTTGAGGAGCATCAGTTTGTGGAAAATCAGCCTTTGAAAAGCTTATAGAATACCAGGCTACTCTGATACACACAGAAGCCCTGAGCTGGCACTGACTTAATGGCGATGGGTAAATTCAGAGATGCTTTTTCTTGTCCCTCTTTCACCAGCATACAAGACTTTACATAATGCTCTAACTTTAAACATCTGCAGGGGAAAACTTAGGTGAGTGTTAAAAACATAGAACTCATTATTCCAATAAACAGTATGTAAAATATATCTTTAAAAAAGACTTTTAAAAGTTCCTGCCTAAAGGAGATTAAAATGCATTTAAAAAATGAGGGATATTTCCACTGGGCTTCTGTTTTTTCCAAAAACGTTTTAAATTCATTTGTTTTTTGTTTTGAAAAGGTTTCAAACCTACAGAAGAGTATGAAGAATCCTGTTCCCCCAGACTCCCTGGTTGTTACTGTTAGATCTGTGTAAGCATCTGTGCACATCCTGTGACTCTCCTCCTCCCTCCTTCTACATCCATAGTTATCTTGACAAGTCTCATCACCATCAGTGTGTAGCTTATCTCAAAATAAGCTACATTATCATCACACAATCTCCCCAGTTAAGGAATCAACAATAAACAGTACTGCCATCCGATGAAAAGACTCTAGTCACACTTGAGCTGCCCACATGTTTCTCTTTGGCAGAACATCATGCCTCATCAGTCTTCATTTTTGTGACACAATTCCTCAGTCTTTTTCCTTGTCTCTCACATCCTTAAAAGTATTAAAGAATACATGCATTATAACAAGCGAAATAGAATCTATGATTAAAACCTCCAACAGCATCAACCAGAAAGTCCAAGGTGAAACAGCTTCAGTGGAGAATTCTACTAAACATTTAGAGAACTGTCACCAATACTATTTCAATTCTTCCAGAAGATGTACTTTGTTCCATGAAGCAAACATAAACCTGATACCCAATACAGACAAAGATACCAAAAGCAAAGAAAATTACAGCCCAATGTATCTTATGATTAGAACCAACCATACTTGCTGTCAAGTCAGTTCCAACTCCTGAGGTCTCCAAGGCTGTGAAATCTCTACAGGAGATTGCCCATCTTTCTCAAAGGAGTGGCTAGTGAATTTGACTATTGACCCTTCAATCAAGCAGCCCAGAAAATCATCAGCAAAATACTATCAAGCAGAAGATAATAGCCTATTAAGAGCCACAGACAAGTAGGATTTATTCCAGGAATGCAGGGAGGGTTTGCCATTAAAACTCAATCCATGTAATATATATATACCAACCACATCAACAGAACAAAGGATAGTAACTGCATCTTTGGATTCAGAAAAACACTTGATAAAATTCAACACCTTTTTTTTCCTGAAAACCCTAAAAACTGGAATACATGTTAAATTCTTCAATACAATTGAGGGCAAGTACTTAATAGAAAAAGATGAGTGCTTTTCCCTTTGAAGTTGGGAAGACTAGGCTGCCCACTATTTCTAGTCAGCATTGTTTTAGAAGTCCTAGTCAGTACATTAAGACAAGATTAAAAAAAGGGGGGGGGTATCTAGATTGGGAAGGAAGTAGAATGATTTTTTAAGGATATAGAGAAAATTTCAAAAGCCCATAAGAACATAGGGAAATTTAGCAAAGTTGCAGGCTGTAAACTCAACAACTAAAAATTGATTTTTTATGAACATTTGAGAAGTCAGAAACGGAAATTAGGGTAACTATTTCAACTACAATAGCATCTAAGAGAAAAAAAAATACTTAAGAATAGATCTAACCAGGCATAGAAAAACTACAAAACACTGCTGAAAGAGATTAAATAAGGCTCTGGTGGCCTTGTGGTAAGAATGTGCATTTTAACTCTGAAGGTATGGGGTTCAAATCCACCAGATGCTCCAAGGGAGAAGGATGGGCAATCTCCTACCACACAATTAACTGCCTCTTTTTAAAAATTACATACACACACGCACACACACACACACACACGTGTATATATATATATATTTAAAGCATATTCTTCCCATTTAATTTTTTCCCATTCATTGTTGCACATTTTCCTCCCTGCTCCCCCCTCCCCCCCCCAGTTTGCTTCTCTCTTTGGAAAAAAATAATTCTTTCATTGTTATACAACACCCTTCCCCAAGTCCACAATCTACTTTATTCTGCATTTCTTCTTCTGGACTCTTGTCATGAAAATAATATTGAGTCATATATTCCTTTTAAACAGTTTTCTCCCTCATTT